AATGAAAGGTACTCCTTGGCTAAGGGATCTAGTCTCCATACAGTAATGTCTTAACTCTTGGCAAAACCAACCAAGAATAAAAAGGACATTAATTTACATAAAATATTCCCAATGTAATAGGAGTCACCGATTACCACTCTCTTTCATAGTTCATTTTCCAGCAGAGGTTCTACAAATAAGTGATACTAGTTAACTGAAATGTCAAAATTTTATTTCCTGATTCAATCTCTGTCAAATACATCAGTGGTGAAAATGGCCAAGAAGGTTAGGGAAAGGGGTTCTGGAACATTCCATGAGACTAATCCAGAATATCCAGAATTGAACTTGAACAGACACATTTTCATGAGTGTCCCATAGAAAAGTATAGGTGATGAGCTCTGAGCAATTCTGAAGGAGAAAAGTACCATGAGGATTCTTAAAGAAAACTGACATTCAAACACAATAGTGCATGTTAAGAGCAGATTATGAGGGAGAAGACTATTCTGACTGGATAACTACATTGTCATTATCTACATCCTAAACAACATCATTTTCACAAACATAAAACAATACGCGCTCTGTATATGTGAGTATATGTTAAGGATACTTGTGAGAACACAAAATTTAGTTGGGAAATAGGAAAGAACATGAGGCTTTCACTAAACCCCTCACACAAAAAAAGAATCAAATGGCCCTTACACAACACAAGTTGTTTGCATGGTCGGTCGGAGACTATGAAAATCCTATTACCTCTTCCATTCCTCCTTCCTCTTTTACATTAACAATACAAGTACTGGCTGTATCCCAATGAACTGAGTAGATAAACACAATGTGGTTCTCTTTTAAAATAAGCCTTTACTGAACATATCAACAAGGTACTGTATAGCGTGGAGTGAAGTTTGTAGTTAACAGAGTGTGTGACACGGCAGGTCTCAAAAGGATGTGGGATGCAGAATCTTCCAGCTCCTTGAAGTCCCTGGTCAGAGAGAACACGCTTCACACAAACCAGAAGCAAATCGACAAATGATTCAAACAATAACAAGTCATCAGATTGATTTCAGTGGATAGATCAGTCCTATAGGGGACAAGCAGTGCTGGTGACTCACCATGCCTCAACTGATTACAAGTCTTACATCCTATGGACACCTTCACAAATGCCCTCAGGTCTATGTGTATGCACCCACATGCGTACTTCAAACTGATTAAAAAATGCCTGTCACAATGGCCTTGCTTTGTGCTCTTTGGGTGGGTATGCAGTGAGAAAAAAGAAATATAGCAAAAGATGTGTTATAACAGCATCATCATCTGTATAAAACACATTTTCCCCACAGCCAGTGAAAAGCATCCCCCATTGCCAGCAATTGTCTTTCAACCTTGCAGAAGGAACCAAAGAAGGATGTGAGCTACAGCTTCCTAACTTTAGTGTTTTGACATAAATAAAAGAGCATCAGGCAATATTTGACAAGATCAAGAACTGGAAGCTGTTTTGTGTATGTATCTTTCCCCTGTTGGGTACTCTTTTCTGCTTTGCTGTCCTGTGAATCTGAAAAGGTAAGTTATGAGCATGGGTACTACTGTCATGTTCTAAAGTAAAGTGTAGTCTCCTTATTAGAGTTAGAGAAAAGTGCCATAAACAAAGACACCGAGTGAAATGAGCCACTTCACAGTCAAATGTTGCAATGGACACTGCAGCTGGGTTTGCTGATCAAGTGAGGCTCCTGCTCCCTGTGGACCACAAAGCTGCCCTGTGTTCTAAGTGGGAGCCTTGCTCACAACATGAAGAGAAGGAACTTCTGACATGGTGAAATGACTAAGACCATTATGATCAGCACTAGTAGGAAATGGAGCTGTGCTATGAGCTACTTCAATAAGACTTTTTACCAGATTGGTCACATCATAATTTTTGTTTGTAACTTTGGGGGAAAATATCTAATATAGTTTCAATGAACATCTGGATAATTAGAAATTGCGTCTTTTTTCCCTAGCACAAGAGATCGTTTTCCACCTTGTGCAAGGAAAATAGGGAACATCCTTGTGGTCTCTGCCTGTGAATGTCCCATGTGATGTGTGGGCAGTGCATCTGAGAGTGTTTGAGTGAAGCCCAAGGTCTCTCCATGATCAAAACATCTCCTCAAACAAGCAGGTATGAGCAACTACCCAGAGTATGAATACCTGTTGATAATATTGTGTGACCATGGCTATGCCTTCTCCTTCTGAAATGTCCTCTGTACTGTGACTTATTTCTGCACTCTGACAAGGCTGGATACTACCTGAGATCATCGCAGCTGGTCAGCATCAAGCTATAAGCCAGTGGACCTGGTCTTGGCCTGCACCCTTAACCTTGACTAATCACCTCAAAATACAAAATGATGAAACCAAAAGAGGAGAAAATACGGAGCAGATGTATCTACAGATCATACTCTGATGATGAAACATGCCAGTGAAAGCATAATCCATCAGTGACGGTCATTCAACAATTTTTGTAAGATGCCTGAGATTTTACAGATTTTATGATGTACTTTCCATCCTGGTATAGGTGAGAGCCCCAGGTACGTTAAATGGCAGGCTGATTTCAGTCGTAGCACTCTTGGTCATGATGTGCACAAGATCAAAATAAATCCTGTAACTAGATTTTCTCTCTTCAGTAGAGAAATTCTGTCAGATCACCCTAACCATTTCACATGACTAGATCTCCACTGTGCCACTTAAACCTGAAATAATTCTGTAAAATCCCCAAAGATATTACAAGAACCTCTCCATTCTTGTTCTTCCCGACCCAAAGCAAAGAGGTCTCAACAGCCAAAATTCCCACTGGGAGTTAAACATACAATACCAATAAATGAGAATGGTTTTGTGGATAACAGAAATAAAAGCCCTCAAAAGCCAGAGTACCATCATTTGAACAAACAGTTTTATCTACATAGCCAAGGGGAAGAGGCCAGTGGTAGGACATTATCCAGTTAAGTACAAAAAAAACCCACCCCACGACAATGTCCTGATTTTAGTTGGCTTACTATTACACTGGTCACCTTCGCAGGTTGTCTTATCCCTTCATGGTATGGACCTATCTTTAAAAACACAACAGCGAAGACCCTCTAGCTAACAGACTAAAATGGAAACCAGAGTCACTTCAGAATTAATTTAAATTAATTCATAGCTAAATTCAGCTCTATTGACTGCACAGTTTCAAGTCTTGTGTCTACAACATTCTAGCTTCAGTTATATGTTCTGCTTATTCTGAGGGATGAGGGAGATTAAAACATATAAGTCAGGGTATATCGTTAAGGAAAATAAAGCTCTTACTATAAAGAAAAACTTGCATAGCGTTTTATACCTAAACTTTTACAAAGACGCATCACAGTTTTATTTTGCTTAAAAAGACAGAGAAAGCAAGATGAGTGTGACATTTACTTCATGAGTCCCTAAAATAATGGCCAGTGGTAACAGAAATATACCACGCAGTGAAATGCCTAGACACGATCTTTCAAAATAATTTTCCAAGGATGCACTTTCTTTCAGATAATGCATGTGATCTATAGCCCTTCTACATCTAAGGAGTGGTGAAGATTAGAGTAAATGGTACGTGCTTGCTGAAGATGGACGTTGCTTCAAAAACATTTAGGATTAAGTGCAGATATCCCTCTCTATTCTATGCCCTCTGCTTGCTGCCCTGCTCTGCCAACATTCGGGGAAGCTCTTCTTCTCTGACTTGTTCATTTTTCATCCGTGGTCTTACAGAAGATTTACCATCCCTCCACAATTCCCAATTGGAGGAACTTCCACAATCGAAAAAGAACACATGAAATTTCAAGTGTTGAATGGGATCAAAGTCAGTCTGAGATGGAAACCTGGTATTGCTTTTAAAAATACGCATTCTTTTGGCCAGCTTTGATATGTCCTTATAGAATTATTAGCAGTGAGAATTAGTATGCATTTTAAAACATGTAAGTACATAAAGATATTTTGTGCAACCAGGACTGGCATTCATAATTCTCTTTGAAATACTGAGCAGAGGGGGACAAACAAAGGTGTCATAAACAACTTAATTACAAAAATAGATGCGAAATGATTGGAAGACAAGAATTTGAGAGGGGATAAAGGTATTAATTCAAGCTATTTCAACATGATACTAATAAAGTCAGTTGATAGAGTGTCATAGAACCACTGATCAGTTGCTTTTGTCTAAATAGTATCAGTAATTTTTAAATAAGAAGTTGTTTTAATATATTTTAAACACTGTTTTCTCATTGGTCTAAATATCATGTTGATATAGCCTCAGTGAAACTACCCAAATAATTCTCATTATCAAAAATAATTCCATTCAATATAATTCTTCCCATTATTTTATTAGGCTCTTCTAAAAAAGTATTCTAGAATATATCTCTGTTGAATGTGATTCAACCTGACATATGATTTGAATAGTGACACTTTTTAAGGGATTTTTTTTTTTCTTGCTAGGACTGATCATACCGGTCCCTGAAGATGACTGAAATCATACTCAAGTCTCTAACTCTGTTATCACATAGGGCCAGGGAAGCATGAAGAGTGATTTTTAAGCTCCCACTCAGAAAGCCACCCCCGGGTTCTAAGGTCTTTTCAAATTGGCTCTTGATTTTCTAGATTGTGTCAGGCTGGGTTCACTTATCTCACAGGAACCGGCTTCCTTTTGATGCTTTCTAAATTTCCTGCACTGGGTCAACTCAGGGTAACTACCTCCTTTCTTATTTCATGGAATTTTTTTTCTTTTAACTTTTCTTCCAGACCAGGAGGCATAGAAATAGCATGAGAACATCTCAGCCATTTCTTGCTTTACCCATTATTCTTCTTACCCCGAGGAGTCCATATGAATATGCCCTTTCATCTGACCATCAGCTGTCGGAAAGGAATTTATCCTGACAGCTACCACAGCAAAGTGGTTAATGTGCATCATAAGGAAGAATCACTCTTTCTTCTGCCTCGGCGCTAGGTTCTCATTGTACAACCCCGTACAGTACTTCAGCAACTATTTTTTTTTTTTAAGATTTAAAAAGCAAAGAGTTACAAAACTGTTTGTAATTAACTTGAAATAGAAAAGATAGCACTTTTTTTTAAATCCCATTATATAGTACACCGTATAAATTACAGAGTATTCAAATGCACAAATGCATCTGTGTAACATTTATCAAATGTGATCTGCGTGTCTATGTGCACACACGTGTGTGTTCTCAAGAGTTCGGCTGTTCACCTTCCTAACAACGCTGTTCCTCTGGTTGTTACGTGTGGCAGTGCTCCAGGTCTGGTACGCTGCTGTTGCAGTATCTCATGTTATTGGGGATATGGCAGTCTGTGTAATTAATGCCCCCGTTTGGGGTGTAAATGGGCTGCAGTCTGAAATCTCCTTTAAGGAGCTGATCGTTATTTAAGGAGACGATCTGAAAGCTGGTTTCCGTCATCTCCAGGATGGAGTTGTCCTTCTTGGTGCCTGCCTCACAATAGTCATCTTTCCGACGGCCCCGATTGTATTTCCACTTCTGCGAGGTGTAGCGCCCCTTTTTGTGCATGTGCCAGCAGAAGACGCTGAGCAAGACCACGAGCACGAATATCACTGCACCCCCTATCAAACCCGCCAGCAGAAAAGGGGAGCCCATGCTGTGGGATGTCGTCTGCTCATGGCTCGAAGCGGTGTTGCTGCCATTGTTCAAATAGGAGGCAAGGGTGGTGGCCTCCGAGCAGACGGTGTCTTCTACAGCACGGTAGTTAAAAGCATCCAGTGGCACTAAGCAAATCCGATAGGTGGATCTGGGCTCCAAATTAACCAGGCTCAGGTGTTGCTTCTCCCCACTGACGATGCGCTCCTGAACGATGCCCCCCACCAGGCTGTGGCCCATCTTCACCCACGTGAGTTTGTATGCCATCACAGTAAAGAGAGACAGCCAGCTGACTTGGATGGAAGTATCATTCACAAAGTGGATGGACAGCTGGATCCGCTCAGATATAGGTGGAGTCGCTCTTTCTCTACCATCCCAGTCAGGAACGGTGGGAAGTTTCGATGTAGTAGGAGCTGGAGGTGTGTAGCTTCTGCTAGGGGTTGGAACAGAGACAGTGGGAGGCTGCGTCGTTGGAGAAATAGTACTTGGGGCTGGGGTAAAGAGAGGCTGGCCAGGGGTCATGGTGGGACACGACAGAAGATTCATATTCAGCTCCCTGACAGCCATCCCCCGGACTTGTTCAGGACCTTGGCACATGAAACCCCGTACGTTGAGAGATGAAGGGATATATTTGAGCCATTCTGTGACCCATTTAATACTGCAGTCACAAAACCAAGGGTTATTCCGAGCAGTGAGCTGCTTCAAGTTGGCGAGATTATCAAAGACCCCTTGAGTCAACTTCCTCAGTTGGTTGTTGGATATGTCCAGCCGTTCCAGCTTCCGGAGGTTGGAGAAGGCCGTCAGAGGGATGTGGTTAATCTGGTTGTCCTGCAGATACAGCCTGATGAGATGCGTACCTGGCAGATCAGGAGGGGGATAGGAGAGCGAATTACGGACTATGGAAAATTCCTTGAGCTTGGTGAGATGGCTGAAGGTGCCCTCGGCAATGCCCTTGTTCGTCAAGAGATTCCCATCCACGATCAGACGCTCCAAGCTTGTGAGGTTCTGAAAGGCCATGTCTGAGATCACGGCGATTCGGTTTTCATCTACTCTCAGCTCTTGCAGGTCCACAGGAAGCCCGACAGGCACGCTGCTCAGGTGGTTCTTGGACAGAAACAACAACTTGAGGCTAACAGCCTCCCGGAAGGCCCCATCCTCCACCCCCACCGTGGAGATAGAGTTGTCATCCAGGTGCAGCTCTTCAAGCTTCAGGAGCTGGGCAAGGGCAGCACGTGAAATGGTCTGAATGTTGTTTTCCTGCAAATGAAGAACTCGGACGTTCTTGGGAAGGTTCATGGGGAATTCATCCAGTTGGTTGCCATAAAGGTAGACCGTGTGCACTGACTGTACATTGTGCAGCTCTGCAGGAAATCCAGCATTATTAATTTGGTTGTTGTGGAGGTAGAGTACGGTTACGCCCTCCGGGATCCCAAGAGGCACTGAGGTCAAGCTTCGCTCGTTACAGTAGACAAAGTTCCTGTCGCAGCGGCACACGCTAGGGCAGGCCAGGAGTTTTGACACTTGTGAGTAGAGCCCTAGGGAAACGATAAGCCAAGATTTCAGGAAAAAAGCCCCATGGCTGGGCCACTTTGTGGTCTGCAGGCCCATTTCTGAAGAACAGAAAGAAAATACAATGTGGTGGGGAAAAGAAAAATTAAAAAAATATATATATATCAGCAAAATCAAAATGACGGGACAGGTTCTGTCAAAGTCCAGAATTCCAGCTACAAGAAATGTCCCGAGGGCATCGGTGAAAGAACCTTTCTGATGTCTCTGGTCTTATCAGCCTGTATGGCCCTCTTTGCTGTTGTCCTCCATGTGCAAAAGACTTCAATAGGGAGAATTTTCTACGCAGGCAGCAGGTGAGGCCACGTTATCTGCGGGGTCTACACAGCCAGAGTGGGTGGACAGAACTCCTGTCCTCTGGTGGAGGTCAGGCCAGGGCTGATGGACCTATGGACTTCTTGGTTAAGCACAATCTGTGATCTGTTGTAGGGAAGAAAAGAGAAGAGAGTCCAGTTAACGGTAGTTATATAAGAAGTACTGATATGCCCACAAACCTTTCAAAAATAGCAACTTTGGGACTAGCATATATTTTAGCTAACCAGTATTTAGTTGGAAAGATATTTAAGAAATCAATGAAATATCTTCAAAAGGAAACTCTTATTATCAATCATACTGTGAACTCTGCATCCCAATCAGTACCTTCTCTTAAATATCTATTTACATATATCAGCAAAATCAAAATCACGGGACAGGTTCTGTCAAAGTGCAACAGACACACAGTCAACACACAGGATTGGTGAATGATTATCATTTCCAAATCCTATTTATCAATCTTACTACAAGATGGAGTTGGGCACTAAGGGAAAAAATGTGAAGCCCTCTAGAGTTATAAATCTTCAAAATGCAAAATGGGGAGTAAGTCATTTTAAAAAAATGCACCCTTATTAAAAAATTCTTCCAAATGCACTGTGTTTCCAAATACATTTATCACATAATGATAACTCATAAATGATGTAGCTATAGCTTTGTATGTTTCCATCTCCTGTTAAAATGCATCTTGAAATTCTAATATGAAAGCTTACTTCTGCTTAGTGGAGAATTCTAGAGAATGCAATGAAAAGGTTAGAATAAAATGTTAATAGAGATTACTCATTATATTACCACTCAGAGATAACTGATAAGTTTATTTCTTTTGCCTAAGAATGCACATAACAACATTGGAATCATTATTTACCTTCCTGCTTCTTACCTAACAATTTGCCATGATCACATTCCATGTCGTTAAAAACCCATGCATCCTTTCTATCTGACACAGATGAACTAGTGCAGGGATAATGCACAGAAGCACACATGAAGGCAGAGAAAAGACTTCTCTTTTCTTCCCCGCTTCTTGCCTCTCTTCTTTTGTCTTCCTCCCAAATAGCTTCCACTTGAGTTACCAAGGAGACTGTCCAAACTCCAATCTGTGACACATTTCCACCACCACACTCCTTTGGGACCTCCAGGTATGCATGAGCTCTGCCACTGTGATTCCTTTAAGAGTTGCCAGGCTCATGATTGAGAATAAATGATTTTCCAATATCACCTCCCTCCTGCCTGTGAGTGCTTTCCTTTTTTTGAAGGACTTTCAGCAAATTATGAAATGAGAGAAGACATAGTGGAGGAAGGAAAGGCAATCCAGGGCTAGCAAGCATGCCTTCTTGCTCCAGAATGTGTTCCATTTGTTTTTAGATTACAGAGGTAAAGAAGTTAATTGAAAGGTGCCAGATTTGATTTCCCTACAAAATAAGCTAACATGACAGGACATGGGAACTGCAAGTCCTCTAATTTTCACCAAGATACAAAGATCGAAATAACTTATATCTAAAAGCACAGAGGGTCTATTTGTAACTGTTCCCTCAGCTATCTTTAGAAATATAATTAAAAAAGAAAAAAAAGTATTGTTAATGTTATTTCAGAGTCAAGGATACTGTGAATTTGTTCTATCATTTAAAAGATTGTAAACCGTATAAAAACGCCTTTGATGATCAGAAATGATAAATTCATTTTTGATTGCTTATAAAAAAAAAGGGAGAGGCTGTTTCTTTCTGGGCAAAAGCAGAAAGATATGATGCTTTATTTAAAATGAAGTGGTACTTAGAAATGTATTTTGCCACTGAAAGAGAGCCATTCTCTCCAGAAGAAATCTCTATATGCTTAAAGAATAGTTTATACAACAGAGTTTGACGCCATCACCTCTATGCCATCTCTATCTCAGGTGTCACAGTATCCCAATGATTCCTAATGTCTTGCTCCTCAAGTATGGTGTGTGGTCCAGCAGCAGGAATCTGACCTAGGAAGCTGGTAGAAATGCAGAACCTCAGGTCAGACTGCAGTTTAGCAAGAACAGTGGGTAGGCACGTTAATATTGGAGAAATACCGCCCTAAACACAGAGATGTCTTAATTATTCATGGTTTAATTTATTACATGTTAAATAAAATGCAGGAGTATATCACACGACTTCTGTGAGCCAAGTAGAGGTAGAAGAGACACCAATCAGTTCCATCTCAAGGAGACGGCCTCAGATTATATCTTATATATAAATTAGATCTTCTAGGTAGAGAATCACAATGACTAGCTATGCCATTTGACCTCAGTGGAAAATATTTATCTCAATGACAAGCTTGGCTGTCTGGTAGGACCTTAAACACTTATTTGTAATCAGAACAGCCTACCTTTATGAAGTAATTAGGTGAAAAGAAAGCCCAAAAACCAAGAATCTAATGTGTCTGAGTATTGTGTGTTCATCTGGAATCTTCAAAATGTGACAGGAGCACTCTGTTCTTACTTTCAGTTCAGAGGATGGCTACTGTTATATTCCCTAGGTAAGAAAAACAGCTGCAATGTTTAGAAGTTCCTAGGTAAAAAGAACAGACACTTTAAAATCATGGTCTCCCCATCTGAAAAATGAGAAAAATAGTTGCTAATTCATAGCACTGTTGAGAGAGTTAAGCAAGAGTTTTGAAAAGCTTGTCTAGTGCCTTCAGGTGGCAAAAATACAATAAATACAAACCAGTATTCCTATGCAATTGTCATTATTAATGATATCTAAAGAGGTGAACTCCAATACGTAGCACAAAATGATACCACTTTTGACCTGCCAAATTCTATGTACCTTCTCCTACTGCAGGGTTTCCCAGTCTTTACAAGGATGACATTTTGGAACACATAATTCTTTGTTGTGGGGCTGTGGTGTGCATCCAAAAATGTCTTCATCTTACCAGTGCCTCAGAAGGTTAGCATCATTATTGCTAATTTTCTAGAGGAAATTAAAGGTAAGTTTTTAATAAGCATAACCTAAAAATGTTCACTGTGGTGGATACTAATAAGGAATGATTTTCATTCATTTATTCAATACATATTTACTGGGCACTAGAAAGGGCAGCTGAATACAGGGCAGAGCCAATGTGATTTTAGGCCTCATGAGGGTTAAATTGTAGAGAAGGGAGAGACCTTGGGTATAAAGGGAATGAGAGCACTGTGGAAAGAGTTTTAATCCAGTTGATGGGGGACCAAGAAAAAACAAAATTAATTGTTCCTGGTGGACGACTGTCTCAGTGTAGCTGTGAAGGATAGAAGTCTCAAGCCAAGGAGCCATTCAAAGGGTTTTGCACACAGATCAAGCTGCTTGATATTTGAATCAAGAGTTGAAACTCAGCTCAGTCCAGAGAAGGAACAAAACTTGACCAACCAGAAAGCACTCTCCCCAGCTCTTGGTTAGCTTCTCCCAGAGTACTGCACTTCTAAAAGATAATAACAAACCCATACTTCAAAATCATTAGAAATGTCTAAGTCTTTAACTATTGGGATAAAAATGTCTTTGTAAGATGGATTTGAAATATTGAGACAGAATGATTTTATTTTCCCCTGTTTGTATGAATGTGTACTGAATATGTTCCCCCTACTAGAAACCAGAGATAATGAAGAATAGCGAAATGGAAGGTGTTAGATAAAAACAGAAATTTTCATTTAAAGTCCACAATACAGTTTCAAAAGCCAGCATATAAACCAACACATTACAAATGCTCTTTGGGGACAAAGAGAGCCTGGCCCTGCCAGTCTCTTAAAGATGACAGTAACAGCAGAAGCTTTTCCAAGCTATTTTACCTTAATTTAACTCTTTTCATAGGAACTGAGACTTAAGCACACAAATCATGTAAAAGCTTTGTGCAAAGTGTTTCTCTCCTGTGTTACCTAAGAAGTTCTTTCTTTCTTTTTTTCTTAATTAGTTCCAGAAGTCTGTATTCCAGGAGCGCTTAATAAATCCAGACTATAAAAATCACGGTACAGAAAATAAGAGTTGTCAATAAGCACTGCCAATCACATAACATAACCACACTAGGACAAACCTAATAAAATCTTAATGGGCTCAGCATTGGCGGGATGGTGACAAGATAGCACCGGGCACGAAGTGATAGGAATGAGAAAGCTCAGATGAAGAGGGTTTCTCCCAGAAAAGTGTCCTGGGGTCAGGTCCCACTTCTAGAGATTCTGGTGTTAAGCAATTTGTGTTTAAAATCGCACCCATTCAGCTACAGATTTCATAAGCCTAACTACACGACAAACGTCTCTGATAGGATCTGGAAACATGAAAGCAATTTATAGATCTCCTGCACATTTCCACATTCCTGAGGGTAGGTTATAAATACTGTGTGTATGACAATGGGAGAGCTCTGTAGTCAGCTGGCCAAGATGTGGGGATTAGCAAAGGAATCTGGGGAGTATAACAATAGCCACCTCTGAATTGAAACCATTTTTTCCATCTCATTCACTGGACCAAGACCCCTGAAGTTTCTCATTAGACAAATATTTTTGTTTGCTGAGAAAAAGGAGGGAAGTGGGAAAGAAGGAGAGAAGGAGGAAAGAAAAGAAAGGAAATACTTTATATAGTTGACAATTACCTGGCTCCACTCAGTCTAGAATTAAAATCAAACCTCACCCCAGCCCTCCAAAAAAAAAAAAAAGAGAAAAAAAAATCTGTCTGACAACACATTTGAAGGATTATCCTCATGTGGTTTCCAATTGGCTCAAATAGTGGAGATACAATTAGAGCAAACAACCACTGTTATAAAACGTCAAATGCACACATTCGAGGGCACATTCACTACTGCCATGACATGCCTCAACCCAGGAGGGAGCTACCATGGACTAAAATCTGTAACTGCTAGACAATGGCCTCTTTCCGTATCAACTACCACCCACATGTAGGTTTGCTCCAGAAGGTAGAATGACCAGTTAACTTGATGCCAGACAGCAATTCCTGATAGTAATCCCTGGCTGGGTATCTGGTTCCCAAATATAGTTTTAAAGAGACAGAGAGAGAAGAATTGAAAGAATGTTAACAGAATACAAAAGGACATGCCCCATAAACGATGAACTTCCTATAGCTCCTATATACATACTTTTAATCCACTTCAAAGAGAGGCTGTTCAACTCATTT